AACTTTGACAGCCTGGCGGGACCTTTTCCCGTGGTCCGATCAGGTCGCCATTAGGCTCAAAAATCTTGTATTTTGACGTAGCACGCGATGGCACTACAGGCCCTCGCGATTTCAAAACTTCGTGCAAAACGCCGTCCTCTACCCTCGGGTGCATCGCATCCTGGACACGTCCACGGCAGCAGCGTCCGTTCGCGCCCCGCGACGTACAGTCCGCACCTGCACCTGACCTGCGTTATTCATAGCCTACAAACTGCTTTTTGAACACAAAGATTTCCAGAGAGCGCTTAGCGACTTTGCGATTTTGGGATCCCAGATCCTAGCCACGAATACCGAATCGAATCGACAGAAATCGGAAAACGACCCAATTTCGACATTTAATCTCTGGCTCCAAGGAGTCGCAGCTTGGAAGTCACTTCGAAAGTCGTAAGTCAAAAGCCGCATAAGACAGAAATCGCAAACTGAATATCTTCTAGCACCCTTAGAAACCGTTACCGCGAGTATCTTGTCCTACCAACGCTGCGTTTCCTTTCCGTACAAAAATATGGGCCATCAGAGTAAGAGTGCACCGCTATCCTCATGAAAGCAGTGACAGAGAAAGGAGGGGGGGAAACCCAAAGAGAAGCAGAGCAGACGAGCTCCACAACATAATGTAAGGGGGCGGGCGCCTGGGTGCCTGCCTGTGCAGCAGAAGCTGCTCTACAGTGTGCTGTATTCGTGCACGTAATCACGCCGTTAATCACCTTGTAGGCGAGGCGAATGAGGAGAGAATAATAAGGTTTGTCGAGGCGATCTAGCTCATCATCAGGACAGATTCGCTCATCTCACCTGCTTACGAAGAGATAGTCGGGGCCGGTCGGTGAGCGACGCTAGGCTCGCCCCAGTGGGGGGTGCACTGCTCGGTCCACGTGACGAGCGCTGAGAACTGAGCGCGGCGACGAGATCGCCCTCGAGGGGGCTGCTTGTGCGCGGCGCAGCGCGGCGGACGCGGCGGACGCGGCGACCAACGTGCTTTCCACTCCACGGTCCGCGCAGTACTGTTGCTGCACGCCAGGCGGGCCGGGCCACGGGCCACGCCGCCGCGCCCAGACACACACAGTGCGCGCCGCGCCACCCCGCCCCACCCCCACCACGTATCGATCTCTCTGTCTCGCTCTTTCTCACGCTCTGGACACCTCTCTCTCTCTCTCTCTCTCTCTCTCTCTCTCTCTCTCTCTCTCTTTCGTCTCCCTCTTTCGCCTCTCTCCATCTTTTAGACACAAAATATAAACATA